TCATCCAGTTGAAGTGAAAAATAAACACAGTTATCTAAGTCAGTTCTTAACTGTAAAAAAATATCATTGCTCATTACTTCTACACGTCTCATCACTGTACTAGCAGAAAGTTGCATAGATTTTATAGCTGAAACTATCTCGTCTTTATTTCTAAAGTTGGCAAATAACGAATCAGCAGCTTCTAAAAACGCCTGTTTTATCATTTCCCCGTCTTCATAAGGTTTCTTTTTTTGTGCAATTATCTGGGAAACACGGTACGATGCTTCAGTTGCCGCCTTATTTTTGTCGACTGTTTCTAAAAATATTGATTGTTGTCCAATTAACTGCTCTTTTAACTGTTTCAGTTTCTCCTTTCTGGCGGCAGAATGTAGTGGGAATGATTTTTCAAAATTAGAATGTACAGTTTTATGATGTACCTCAATATTTCCTTTTTAAGCAACGGAGACCAAAGTATTACATAACAAACACACATTTTATCTTTAACTTCTGTAAAAAAGTATTGTTCTTCCCATTCCGAATGAAAGTGGTATGTCTTTACCTTCTTACAACTGCTTGCCATAATATTATTTGTGTTGTTGCGTAACCAAACTGCTGGACGTTGGTTACGCGTTCAGTTTTAAACTAAGCGCAATGTCGCCGCGCCGTGCGTATTTATCCCGTTCAAAGCAATCCAGATCGTTCTCGAACACTAACGCGCTGGTCCGGCTGGTCGGTTCTAGCCGATTCTAGCTTGATGGCGTCAGCGGCAGATCGCTCACTGCAACGTTTCCGCTGTTTATGTTTAATATTATGACAATTAGATTTTTTGTGGAATTTTCAGAAGCTTCTCTGATTTTTGCATTTTGTATTTTTTGAATTAAAATCGTTGTGAGAGCTACCAGAATTGCCTCCGCGAGCTACCGGTAGCTCGCGATCGACAGGTTGGCGACCACTGGTTTACAGTAACTTAAAAGATTCATCTCGGACCAGAAATAGGATTGAATCGTGAACAGTTTTGTACTATTATTTTTTACAACTTTCGACGTAGATTAACTCAGCAACAGTGCAGGGATGAACTTAAATCAATTCTTGGTGATGAAGCTCCATCAAGAACCAGTGTTTAGCGATGGTATGGTGAATTCAATCGTGGTCGTGGTTCACTCAAAGACGAATTCCGTAAAGGTCGTCCAAAACCAGTTGTTGTTCCGAAAACCATTGATGCTGTGCGTGAACTGATATCGAAAGATCGTCATGTAACCTATCGTGAGATTGAGGCAACCTTAGGCATTAGTGGTACCAGCATACATTCAATATTGCATAAACATTATACATTCCGTTATTGACTCCATTTCAAGAGTGTACTTCATATATCCAATTGCGGCAATACTTTCTAAAACTTCTGCAACAACTCAACAAAGAGCAAGTTACAAAAATCCTACAACATTTCGATATCGACATCAATGGAGCAGTATCAGATTTAAACATGAAATTGGAAATCATCAAGAGGTATCCCGAGTTTGCGAATTCGAAAGATTTTGACTTCACAACTCTGTTGAATCTCTTATACAATGAGTGTTCAGCTAGTACCTCAACCAATCGAGATTGTATCACA